TGCATACCTGCATACCTGCATACATGCATACATGCATACATGCATACATGCACACATGCATACATGCATATATACATACATATACATATACATATACATATACATATACATATACATATACATATACATATACATATACATATACATATACATGCATATGCACACGTACACACACAAATATGCATATGTTTATGTATATGTTTATGTATATGTACATGCACATGTATATGTATATGTATATGTACATATATGTATATATACAAATACATAGAGACATATATAGGTACATGCATTCGTACATACATACATACATACATACATACATACACACATACACACATACATACCTACCAATGCATACGTACCTGTAGACATGCATACGTACATGCATTCATACATGCATGCATGCATACATACATACATACATACACACACGCACACAGAGAAGTACATAACATACAGAGACAGACAGACCGACCGACAGACAGACACACAGACACATATATTGACGCGCACACATACAGACATATACATACACCTGCACCTACCTACACACACATGATTGCATAGATAGACGTACAAATACATAAACGCAAGGCGCAGGCATATATGCAATTGCATATACCTACATATGCAGGTGTTTACACACAATACATACATACATCTACATGTTACATACATTGCAGTCCGTACATGCATGCACAAATATGTATATACATAGTCATGCGTGCATAGACATGCACATACCTATACGTTTGCATACATGCATGTATGCATACATACACACAGTGTCTCAATGACAATTATGAGTACAAAGAAGCACACGAGTGCTTGAACGATGCCAGCTCGAAAAGCACACAAGCGTAAAGAGATAGGCATGGAACAACAGATACACGCACGTAGCATGCGCAAGCATCACGTAAACAAGGCACAAGATGGAAAGAGGGAAGAGTCAGGTCATCAGGGCCTGAGGGCTTGGGGCTTCAGGAGCTGTGGAATGGGCTTTAGAGTGAACCTTGGGGCGGATCAGGCCTCTGAAGGGAGACTTCTCTCTGTGGTGCCCGGCGGCGTGGAGGATGACATCCACTTTCTGGGCTAAGATCTGCTCGCATAATACTTTGCATAGCTCCGAATCTGTCCGAGTTCCCTTGCATAAGCACGCTCGGCAGCCGGAAAGTTTGATTAGAGTTGAAGTACAGCTTCGCTACTGCTTCTTGGGCAGTGAAAGGCTGACCCAACCTTGAAACTCATCCAAGCATTCCTTGCCTGTTGCTCGTCTTGCGCACGGCTTTTCCCACAGGCCCAGGCCCAGGCCTGCTGTGATGCCTCTGAGTTTCACATCGTGCAAGCGCCGGGCTGTTGGCTTCTTCGAGCCCAAGAAGGGATCGAAAGGTACCGAGGGCGTGGGACCAGGATGGAGAAACAGCACAAAACGGCTTTGCTACTCACCATTCCTCGCCAGTCTTGGCCGCCTTAGCCCTTGCCCCATAGAGATTACCCCGATGCCACAGGCCAAAGCCCATCCGCTTTGCGAAGATTCTGTGCGAAAATCGTGTTTGCCGGGACATGCTGACATGCAGCTTTCCGTGCCCGCATGCCTCACGTGGCAGCAGAGTCAGGATCGGGTTTGATTTCATGTTGGGGTTGGTTTTGGTAGCGACGGATACGCAAGTCACAAAGGCCCGACACCCGGAAGAGGCTGGCAAGCGAAGGCCTGATGAATGATAGCCATGGGCCACGATAGTTTTCGAGACTTGACCGACTGTCCAGCTATGTCCTAGCAGGCTGACTTAGTTCGGACCCACGTCCTCCAGCGCACACTTGCTACCACCAGCATCAGTTAGATTCTCCGCTGCCGATGGCGGAGACGAGTGCGTCCGAAGCTGCCACAGACGCTCGGGTCCTCACTCAGCTTTGCAGGAAAAGCCCATATGGGACTTCGCTTTCTTGGTGTGTGTGTGTGTGAGCATGCTCGTCATACTCTGGATGTTGGTATCTTCACTTTCCTGCTTTCGTGATTCCACCTGACATTTTTGTTTTGGTTTCCTTTTGTGAGCCGGGTTTCGTGACTTCCTGACTTCCCTCGAGGAAAGCGAGGACGCCGAAGATGACGAACCTAGTCTTTGGGCTGAGGCCCGGGCGGGGATTTTGAGTCTTCTGTCATCAGAGCTTGGGACCGAAGGAAAAAAGGCGTTAGGATGTCAATGAATTACAGCAATAGACGACATTGCATGTATATACAGGTGTCGATAGCCCCACACACATATGTATATATGGACAAATTTATGGCTTTATCTACCTACCTACCTACATATCTGTCAATCTATCTGTCTAGCTAGCCCATACCTATTCCTATACTTCTGCCTATATCTATATCTGTATCTGTTATACTATGTCTCTATTGTTATGTACATCTAATCTATATTTATTTATTTGTATCATTGACTGTAGCTAAACCTAATACGTGCATCCCTAACTATACGACTACAGTCAACGATATGCTGTTCCCCCAATCGTCGCCTACTTGGTCGAGCCCGAGTGCTAAACACCTATATCTGTACTGCTATGTTTGTGTGTGTGTGTATATATATAATTATATATATATAATTATATATATATAGATAGATAGATAGATAGATAGATAGATAGATAGATAGATAGATAGATACACACCCGCATAAATCGCTATTTTCATTTTTGTCCACACCTATATCTGAACATTTATCAAACTATCTATATCTTTGTTTCTTATCTATAAATCTGCCTGCCTACCTACCGACCGACCTACCTACCTATCTATCTATCCATCTATCTATCTATCCATCTACTTATCTATCTATCTATCTGCCTTGCAGGAGGAAAACATCTATGCATCGAGATAGATAGACAGATAGACAGATACATAGATAGGTAGGTAGGTACGTAGATAGACAAATATACAGATTGCTTCATATCATTATGTATGTATACATGCACATATATATATATATGTATATATATATACATATGTATGTATGTATGTATGTATGTATGTATGTAGTTAGAAAGGTAGCTAGGTAGCTAGGTAGCTAGGTATCTAGGTAGCTAGGTAGCTAGGTAGGTAGGTAGGTAGGTCGGCAGGGTAGGTAGGTAGGTAGGCAGGTAGGTAGGTAGGTAGGTAGGTAGGTAGGTAGGTTACGCACATAGAGGAGCTTTCTCAACTCTATCCCAAGTTTTGAAGAATGACCGTTCGAGATCTAGGATGCGAACATCTCTGCAGTGCTCGCCACCCACAACTTAACACTGTCATTGATATTCTGTCAGGCAGGGCAGGGTCAAGTCTTTCAAAACCCGATTCTTTCCGTGGCTTTGGCGTCCTTGAGCTTTTCGTTTTAATGAAAGAGGGCAGGCAGCTGCATGTTGCGCCAGGCAAACAAAACAGAGAAGGAAGCCCGAATCCGACAGCCATCTGTATGGTGGGTGCCTTGCCCTATCTGGGAGGCGAGGGCCTGGCTTCTTCCTTTTTGCTGCGCCGGCTTCCAGCGCCTGATGACCACGAAGGCGCTTCCAAAAGCGCCGGTGCCTTCGGAGCCGCCAAAGATGCGGCCGGAGCCGTTTGCCGGTGAGGCACGGTTGGGCGAGACAACAAAGAGAGACTTCGGGATTTCGGAGTGTTTCTTTGCAAGGGACATTCGCAGTAGCACCGGAAGTCCCATCAAGGGGGTGAGCTTCAAGCAGGCCTCGGCTGAAGGCCTCCGAATGAGGGTGGCGAGGACGAGTCGGACGAGCTGCGTGAGCCACATGAGGTCCGACGGCTCTGCCTTCTCCTACCCGTTCCTTTCCGTGGACAGCCTGACACGACTGGAGGAAGTGGAGGACAGGCCGATGCAGTGTGCATAGGGAATCCCGAACTGGATCCCTGATTACTCTGACTCGGACCCGTTGAGCTTCCCGGTGGTGTTTTTCGCCGCAGGAGGGTCGGCCTGAGGGCCGGAGCGAGGAGGAGGTGGAGGCAACAGTGGAGCGCTGGACTGCCTATCTCCACCCTCGCGCCAAGGAGGCGATCATAGGATGCAGGATATGGGGTTTTGAGAAGTTCTCCAACAGCAGCAGGGACTTCGTGCGGGGGCCCATGGTTGGGGAGGGTGCAGACGGCCCCAAACTCGAAGACTAGTAGTTGGAGTGCGGCGCGTACC